TGGCTACCCGCGCCCCCCCTGCAATGGCACGGCGCACCCCCTAGGGGGCACGCCCCACAGTTTGGGAACCTCAGTGCTAACGGAAGCAGGAACACCGCGTGTGCACCCTCGATGAACAGCGTCAGTTTAAGCTGCAACAGAAGTAAGTTAGCGATTGTGAATATTTGTGTGTATGTGTGTGCGGGCGTGCTCGCATGCTGACACGGACTCATTAAGTCCCGGCTCGTGACGGGCCCCTCCGTCACATAGGATAATCATTACTGATGCTCAGCTACTAATTCTTCTGTTTGTTTTTGGAAACTTGTTTCCTAATATTTTGGTATTACTGTTAACATAGCTGAAGGTCCAAGTTTGTCTTTGATTCCCTTGCGTAAAATAGAACCACAGTGTGGTGACAAGACATATTAATCTTGACAGGACAACACACACTTTTTGCAGCAACAAATGACTCATTGTAAAATCTTAGAAATATCAATTGGAGTCATTCTGAAATACACTTTTTTTTTTACTCAGAATTCCATAACAAAGCTGCTAACAGCATCTATGTTTTTGTAGTAGAAAATTCTTTAATACATCCTGAGGAAGCAGCAGCAGGTAATAAATCTGATCTATAGAGCATATGTTGCCCATGATGAAAAGAGTCCTGACGGCCAATTTATACTGAAGAAAATTGGAATGCAAACACAATCATCATTACGTTATACTCATCGAAGTGTCTGTCTGGCAGCAGCAGGCCTCCTTACACTGCAAAAACACAACATCTTACCAAGTATTTCTGTCTAGTTCCTAGAGCAAATCTTCTTGGACACATCAAATAAGACAAAATTAACATAAAATTTAATTCATGTTTTTGGACTGTGGGAGTACCTGAGTACCCGGAGAAAACCCACGCATGCAGAAAGACTGGGGCCTTTCAGCATGCGTATAACTTTTCAGCAAGATATACGAACTTGTTTCAAGTAAATAATTTTTTAATATAAATTTTAAAAAAAACTTCTAGTTCCACTGGCAGATTTGTTCACTTACGACAAGACATTTTTCTCATAGGTGAAAAAAAAATCTACCAGTGGAACAAGTACTTCATCTAAAAACAAAAAAAAAAAAAAATCATAAAAAAGTGTCCCATTGCATAAAAGCTGAACCACTCTCACCCCTTCGTCCTTTTCTAGCTCCAGTCCCATCTCCTGAAGGTTTTGCTCAAACTCCTCCCGCTTGAAGCGCTTGTCATCCTCATGATAATTAGCCTGTTGTTCTGTGGCTGCAACCTCTGGGTCTTCCTTGGGCTGCAGTGGCGCTCGGCTGCTCCTGGAGCTCAGGCTGCGCCGAAGCCGATGGAAGAAGCCGTTGTCACTCAGCTTGGATGACTGGCGCCGGACGGCACTGGGCTTCTGGATGCTATAGGTCAGAACATAGTCCACACGCCGCTGTCCATCAGAGAAGTACGGACCACGGGGCAGATGCAGGAGCGAGCCATCGCTCGCATAGAGAGTTTTCATTGGCTGGAAAAAGGACAGTTGTATCAGAGATACGTTCAGCAAAAGTGTTATTTAATAACAAGAAAGCAAAGCAAGTTAACAGCCATCAGATTCACAAACATACCTTCATTTTGATCTCACACAAAACATGAAATAGGAAGATATTTTCCCTGCACAGTGTTGCTCAAAATTCATATAATACCTTCTTCCTAATTTTTCTAACTTCTCTAAATCAGCTACATATTCAGCAACTGATGACATTCGGAAAAAACCTTTAAACAAAATCTGAATTGCCCGGCTAATGTAGACTGCACAAGATGATTTCAGGTTTCAATAAAATTCTAGCAAATACCAGTAAGACATATCATGCAAAATTCACTTTTTAAGCTCTTAAATATTTTGTATACTTTAAGTGTCTAGGAGTGTAAGGAATATAAATGTATTCTTTCCTGGTGCTGCATAGATTAAAGTTTATCTTTATAAACTTTATGGGCAATATTTTTCTGTTTATTCTCTATTGCCTATAATGTTTTTTCTTTATAACATCACCCCATTTGCTGTGGAACTGCTAAACAAGGACATGACTTCCAGCTAATCAGTTTGTGAATCCACCATCTTTGTCCAAGTTCAGTTGTGACAAAGTTGCAAGTAAACAACTCAAAATGTTCAATGGTAGCTACCATTGAACATTTTGACTGAGCACTGTAGCACATGTGAGAGAATATATTCTCTCACATGTGCTACAGTGCTCAGCAAATGGAAGGCTGCAAGGCCTGTGAATAATATGTTTTAAACATGTTCCTGTGCTAGTTCCCTTAACAGTTTTAGCTTAAATTATGAAGAAGCGGAAGAATCTTTTGGAATGGAGGGAAGTAAAACTGATTTTGACATGTTTCTTAACTTTGTCTATTGTTTCATCTGAACAATCATGCATGTTCTCTATGTCGCAAACATGAAAGACGCTATTTGGAGTTCTCTGGTTAAACAGACTGGTATCTCAGTACCAGTATAGTTCCTTTCAAATGAAAACGCAACATGATTTAGAAGTACAGTATGATGTTGATGAGCTCCAGGGTGAGTGGAAGTTTCAGCTGTTTCCAGCTCAGATCATACATGCATCACTGAATCACCTGAAATGACACGCAACATCTCGGGTTGTTAAAAACTGATTGCTTTTTGGAAAAAGAAAAGAAATTCTCCTAATGCACAATTAAAAATTTTAGACTAACTTTTAGAAGTTAACTCATGACAGTAGATTTAAATAAGGTGATACAAAACCTTCATAAAATTATTGAAAAATCAACATTATGTTTTCTTATTTAAAAAAAATCAGTGTTCACACTCCATAAAAAGGTTAATTAGGAGACAAACCCTGTTTATCAAATTCATGGATTAACTTACAAATATTAAAAGCTTTGATTAAATCAGAGGTTTTATTAGCTTGATGCTTTGGTGAACTGTTATGTGCAAAGCAAATGCAAACTGTTGCAAGCAGTTTCCAATGTCTGTTGACTCCATCAGTATGAAATGAGAATAATTACAGTAGGAAACATTCAAGGTAGCTTGTTGGCTCATTTGATTATAAAATGAGCCAACAAGCTACCTTGTGAACCTTGTAGTAGTACATAAGCTAACCACTAACCTCTCTGTATACAAAGGTATTCTAGACCCAAATAGTTAAAGTATTCTACAGTTATTAATTTGATAGCTGATGGTTTACACAAATTTCCAGCAAAGCAGTTTTTGGGGTTTGAGAGCTTAATGGGTATAAAGGGTTTCCAGGTTAGAGACATTTCTCTCTGAAGTGAGTCTTGCAAAGCATTCTTCAGCTGCTGTCAGAATGTGACTTTGCCTGGTAAGTGAGTGCCAGGTACAAAGGAGTGCGACTCTATTTGGATACCTGTTTCAACTATGCAGTTTAAAACCCTTACATTGATGTTACTGCCTGCTTTGCTGCACTGTAAAAAACAAAAAAAACAAAAGGTGAGAAACAAGATTTGTGAGAATCCCACAGTCAGCCAGCCGATAGCCGTCAGTGATCCTGAAGTTGGTGTTGGAGTGTTTCAAAATGGCGCTTCAGGGTTGCTTCAGATTTTGTTGAGATAGAACAGAATTTAATCTTCTCTGCTTCAAAATCTGAAACATTTCAAATTATCCAAACAGAACAGGCTCATGTATAACAGTGTTTAGGTTGTAGAATCCCACTTGCTTTATGCATCAGTGCAATGGGGAAATAGCGCCCCCCTCTCTGTGTGGTTGGTTATATACTGCTGGCTCCTGTACTCTGTGCCAGTCTGCGAAAGCTACACAAGAGGCGAGTTTCATTCTTCAGCACACCGAGTAGAAAAATGTTAGCAATCGATAAAACATAATTTTTATTAACTTAGATAGAGTGCAATTAATATTTACTAGATACGTGCCTGGCACTAATTTTGGCACTTTTAATTTCATTATAAAACACTTCATATGCCAAGTTAAAAAGCTAACATAACGCTCGCTCTGTTGTAGTGTGCTTATTGAAGCTGAGCCGTTGCACTGATTCCAACCCGATATGTTCTCATTCAGGTACATCATTTATTATTGTATCCTTCATTGTATGATCTTTAAAACATGATTTTTACTGTACTCAGTCAGTGCCAGTCTGTGAAAGCTGCACAAGAGTGTGCTGATTGAAGCTGAGCCGTTGCACTGACTCCAACCCGATATGTTCTCATTCAGGAAATAAACTGCAGATCACCCAGAAACTCCTTGTCTTCTTTAAAACTACACAACGCAGAGTCGAGGGGTTACTTGGGCCGCCCTGGTACAGTGGAGTGAAGCAGAACCCGGTTACACATGCACTCATGTTCCTTATGACACCGTTTTACAAAAACAACACAAAATGAAGCATTTTCAGTAGTTCTCCAGAATTGGGACCACCCAAAAGTTAACAAGCATGAGAACTTCAATGTAATGACTTGTTAAAACTAAACTGAATCATCATACAGACTCCAGATTCTTTAAAACAATTTTATTTCGAAACATCGACTCCATTCATGTAAAAAACAAATGTGTAGACTTGTGATCCCAACACTGAGCATCGCCTCATCTCGTGTTGATAGATGCGTCACTTGGTTAGAAACTGAAGCACAGCAGTTAAACTCAAAGCCCATTAACAGTGACTTGCCCTGACAAGATGTTGCCAAACTAAATCTAGCCTAGCTAAATGATCAAAGATGATTTTGAAATTGTGCCATGTTTAATATTAGGGCTCTGCTTGTGTAAAAAAATAAGTTAGGATGATAAAATAATCATGATTATTTTAAACAACAGGCAGTATCTCAGATAAAATGTTGATAATTTTAGGAACTCTGATCCAGAAGGGCACAGCATTCTGGGAAATGTAGGCAGAAGGAAGGCTTTAGCCGCACAGCCTCTCACAATCAGCCAAGAAAGGTGGGTGGCATCATTGCACCCCACTGTTCACAATAGTGACCAAGAAATTTTTTTCACTTTCAAGGACTCTAAATAGCTTCCTGATTAAATTTTCAGTTAATGTTCAGCAGACATTGAAAGTTTAGAGTGTTTGGATAATACTTATGCAGTATCACATGTTTAGAGTAAATTATCACGACCAGAGCTGATTATATCTTGGTTTCACCTTGGCGAGAGGAAGACTGCCACAAACCTCCCAAAGAAGAGGCTAGTAAAGTATGTTTAAATACACATACAATAAAGATTTTTGGTGCACATCATCTTTAAAGTGTCTAGTTATGATATGCACCTTTACATTTACAAAAATTAGTTTGGTGTGTGAACATGTTGACGGTCACAATAGTGACCGGTGGGATAATACCTTTGATCTAGGTGCACTTATTTAAATGCATACCATATTCTTCCAATTCCTAACTTCTTCCTTTTTAAGATTAATTTTGAGTGTGGTTCTTCATCTGTTGGACTTAACGATGGCCAGACAAAGTATATAACAATGTATTTGTGAGAAAAATGGAATCCTTACTGATTTTGATAGTGGTGGCTTAGACATGGACTATATGGGGAAGATGGGCCATTTTCCATGCCTGATTTTGAATGCATATGATCAGTTCATGGGAAAAGAGGATAATCTGACCCTTCATCAATCATGTGGCACTCTGTTACCATCTGCAAAAGTTTATGATGAAGGGATAACCGTCTCTCTGATGTACCCTTTAAAAATAAGGAGGATCCTAATGAGGTTCCGACACAAGATGAGAAACTGCTGATCCATTAGAAAAACAGCAATATTTTCATGGTGGAAACAAAGATGAGAAATAACTATACAGAGACTGATGTCAAATAGATCAATGGGCACATGAGAGGTGTAGACCTAAATCCTTCAAGGTACAGTGTCATGGTCAGGTTCAAGAAGTGGTGGTGGCCCATCTCAAAAGCACACTTATAAATAGGGTGATGGTAGCCAAGGAGTTTATCTTGTCTTGTACCTGGTGGGTTGCCTGCTAGAACCCCCACTTTGTGTCAGTCGTTGTGACCTTGATCAAGAGAACAATTCACCTGCCATGCCAGCTGGTGGTAGTCAGAGGAGCCGGTGGTGCCAGTGACCCTTACTTCTGTCAAACTATGCCAAAGAAGCTGTAGCTACAATCTAGTAGCTTACTGCTATCAGTATGTGAATGTGTGTGTGAATGGGTGAATGACTAAATGTGGTGAAAAGCATTTTCAGGTCATTTGGACTTGATAAAGAACTATACAAAGTACAGGCCATTTACCTTTCAGATATTATTTTACAAATGTGTCGTAGGAGGAACGACCGATTTGCTCATCATGGGTTGTGGCTTATTATCTTATGCAAAGGTTTGGCATAAGGCCGGTAGGTCATGGAAATAGATCTCAAATGGACACTTCTCTTCAAGTTATGACAAGATGTGACCAAGACACTGACTGCTCAGTCAATGCAAGAATCGTTTCCAGAGATGTTGCTTTTGCACCACCCATGCCTTGGAGAAATTCAAGGCTTTATTGCACATTGAGTGCTTCAAGAACGAACA